CTTCTTCTTCTTCTTCTTCTTCTTCTTCTTCTTCTTCTTCTTCTTCTTCTTCTTCTCCTCCTCCTCCTCCTCCTCCTCCTCCTCCTCCTCTTCCTCTTCCTCTTCCTCCTCCTCCTTCTTCCTCTTCTTCTTCTTCTTCTTTCTTCTTCTGCTGCTGCTACTGCTGCTGCTTCTGCTTCTTTTCTTCTATCATTTTGCTTTTTTCAATTGATGGGTTTCTGCATGCTCAGAAATTATATCCTGCCACAGGACCAGTCTATTAAGCCCACCCAAGGCTTTCTCCATTTTCATTGTAGTGTTTTGTTTCCCAGCAGAGACACTTCTGGTCCTTCGCTGGAGTTGAAGTGTGTGGTATGTTGCTCAGCTTTTCTTGCCTGCTGTCTATACTTTCAGACTTCTGGGTTAACTCCACCATCCCAGTTGTATCTGAGTCTGGTTCAAATGCTTGTTGAGTCTCAGAAAGTTGTGGTTTTGACCCTTTTGTTTTGACCTGTAATGCTTTCTTGGTAGTTGGATATGATACACCGGGTTAAAAATGAATTCCTGTAAATAGGCATTGACTGATTGATGGGCAAGGAGGGAATGTTCTCTAGTCCTATGATTAGCTCTTAGACTTGTAGAGAGCCTGAGCCTCCAGATGGCGAATTTAACCCATATTCCTCAGCCCTACCTCCTTAGGAACTGAACAGCAAGAGTGGAAGATAGATGTTCTTCCTGTCTCCCATGTGGAATGGCTAACACACAGAAGGCTGATGGGGCCACTATTGGTTTTCCTTTTTCCCCAGATGATTAGACTTGGGAAAATAGTTTCTCTTAAGAGAAGGTCTTATGACAAAGAAAAAAACTGTTTTTATTGACTAGTCCTCTGAGATTTATCCCTTCAAACTCAACTAAATTTTTAAGTCATTTTTTTAGTTTACTGATTTATGGTCTGGATGCTTTGTGCCTGTGTTTCCCTTGAACTTCTGCATTTCCAGTTTCTAAATGGACAGTTATTAGCTAGTTGATTTGAGTTTCGAAGATTCAGTCTCCTGTGCTTCATATAGTAAAGCCCTAAAGGGTTCCAGGAGTTTTTGTTATTGCTGCTGCTGCCTGCTTGCCTGTCAGGCATATACTAGGTAAGCATTCTACCACTGAGCTCTAGTCCTAACCTCCCGGCTCTTTAAATTACTTTTGAGACAAGTTTCTTGTTACGTTGCCCAGGCTGGCCTTAAACTTGCTCTGCAGTCTGGGCAGGCCTTGAATTTGGAATCTTCCTGCCTCAGTGTCCCAGGTAGCTGAGATTACAGGCCTGCCACTGCTTTGGCTTGTTATATGTTTTTCTTTCTTGGATTCCAGGGATTTGATCAAAGTACACTAAACTGTGGACCTTCTGGGTGTAAGAGATGAGAGCGCCCGTGCTTCGGATTAAACACCTAGGGAAGTGGGTGGGGTGGGGTTGTCTAGCTTCAAGTAACAGTTTGGATAGGAGCAGAGAGCCTCAGTTGCAAGGCTTTGTACCATGTGCCCTTTTCTCTCAGCCAAACCTCTTAACGCAGAAAAGTGTCGATTTTACAAAGAGACAGGTCACCTGCTGACATTGCTCAAGTATGACCAGCTTATGAAACTTCTTTGTGAGCTTCTGGGAAGTTTGACGTCAACAGTCAATATGCTTGAATGTTTTGTTTTCTTTACTGTCATCAAGTCCATATTCATTCATCCCCATCATGTGCCCAGGACTCATCCTGTAGCATCTTGTGTGTGTTGTATCTGACCTAAGGCTCACATACAACATGCCCCTTCCTTCCTTTTGGAGTTGGATGGGAACAGTGGCACCATTAAGGGTTAATGAGAAAACAGACCATTTTCTTTAACGCCATGGCAGAGACCCAGGGTTTCTTCCAGTGAAGCAGCTGATAATGCACTCAGTGATTTCTGAAGAGAAGGAAGTCCAGTGCTTAGAACTGATACGCCCTTCATGCCTTATTTAAAAATAAAACAGACACAAGTTGCTTCCACATACCCCGGGCTCCAAAATATCTGTTTTTGTAGATATGGCTGGATTATAAGTTGGCTCGTGTAGGGCAGAAGTCTCTTTGTAACCCCTGGTTCCCAACAACCTCAGGAAGAGAGGGCTTGGTCAAGTTCTGTGCGCTCTGGGCTTGGAGCCAATGCTTGGGTGACTGAGCTGGCTTTGCAGTTCCAGTGTAAACAAGACATGCTCTTATCTTCACAGCAGAAATATTACAAAGACCTAGAATTTAAAAATGAACATTTCATATCATGTAACTTCCCAAGTATTGCATCGACCTCAGCTTTTTTGGTTCTGAATGGGTGTAATGCCCGAATACAGATTAGAGAGACCCACGCTTTTGTTTCTACAACGAGAGGCAATCAGCATTAAGATAAGGTGAAGTGCACTGTGAATTTAAATTTTATGCTAATTACTTTACAGCGTGCTCTCGTTCTTTCTTCTTTCTACGTCTTTAAGTAATCAGATTTTTTTTTAAATACCCATGAGAGAATCTGTCTATCTATGGTTATAAACCAACATTTAAGTCATGCGCACTTGTCTGTATTTTGGTACAATAAAAATAAACCCATTATCTTTGCCTTTCAAGCTTTTCACTTGGGACCAAAGGCAGGGGCAAGACCTTCACTGCTGAGCTCCAGCCCAGCTCAGCCTTGCTTCCCCAGCTTGGACTTGAAGGTCATTTCCACTGCTTGTTTTATAACAGTCCTCTCTTCACATACACACAGCATTTACTTGTGCTGTGCTCCTACACACTAGGAGGGAAAGTGCATAAGCAAATGGTGTTTACTTTGGGCACTCTATTTTAAGGCTTGGCTCCTTTAAAATGAAAAGGTTGGCTTAAAATGGCCTCTTAGGAGCCCAGTTCCAGCCCACTCATTTCCACTTGACTAGACTGATGATTGACATAGCTTCCAAAGTGTGAACTGGAACAAAGTTCCAAGCTGGAGAATGTCAGAGACTATGGAGCAGGCAGGGATATAATAGAATCAGTTAAGAGTCTTCTTTCTGACTGTGTGAAATGTTAAGCTTGACGGTCACCCTGAAGGGAAGTGGAGTGGCCACAGGTGGCTTTGTGAATACAAATCTGGGTAGCAACTAAGCTCCACATGGAAATATTATTAGCGGCTCGAAAATATATCAGCTTGCTTTTTGTTTAGCGGGGAAGTGATTGAAAAAGCTCCATGTGTTTATATTTGTTGGTAATATATTTAGTATCCTGTTTTTATGTATATTCCATAATATAGTTACTATTCTGAGACTATTTACTGTTCTCCATGACAGTCATTCTGGAGTGGCTGAAAATGCTTTGGGCCAAGCTGCAACTATGAGACCCTTGTTCCCTGTGGCTCAAGGCCTATGGACACAAAGAGAGTTCCCATTCTAAGGAGCGAGATTTCTACCAATACATGGCTCATGTTTTTTCCTCTTCTCCTTAATTCAGGAATAAGCTCCAAGCTCAAATCAATAGAATCCACCTAATTGTCCATCATCAGATGAATCGATAATAGAAACTAAATATATAAAATATATTCCTATGGAGAGATACTATTTAGGTCTACAGAAAAATGAAATCACAAAATACACAGGAAAACGAATGGGCTTAGAATGTATGTTAAGCAAGGTCACACAGTCTTAGAAGGATAACCTCATGTTCTCCTTGTATGCAGGATCTAGCCACTAATGTATGTACATGTCTAAACTAATGTACATGTGGGTACAATATAACAATGTTATATAATATATAATATTGTTATATAACAATATAACATGAAGATAACAAGAATGGCAAACATTGGGGGATGAAGACGAGCTGGGGGTTATAGACACCAGTTATGGAAGGATACAAAGCTAATTGTTTTTCCAGTTCTAATTCTGTCATGGAGTTTTTGTTCTCGATGGTGGGTAAGTATATAAAACAAATTCAATAGTGAAAGTATAAACTCTTCTGTTCCAGAAGTCTACTCTAACTATATAGAAGTCCATTGAGTTGCATAGTCTTTGGATATGGTTAACTTCAGTGTGTAGTATCTCAAATTTGCATCTTTTAAAATACATAATGAAGTTTAAAATAAGAAAAGGAATATAGGAGAGAAATTTTAACTGGGCATGGTGGTGCATATAAATCTCAGCATTCTGGAGGCAGAGGCAGAGATATCTCTGAGTTCAAGGCCAGCCTGGTCTACATAGTGAGATCTTATTTCAAAAATAAAAATATAAGTAAAGAAAGAAATGGCAGTTATTACCTATCTAACTAGGGAAGGAGAGGGGGAAATAGGGATTTTTTTTAATGCATAACTAGAATATGAATGGTTTAAGATGAAATACATCTACATGTTCCTATTGGGAGATGGTTTTAGAGGTCTTAGACGGTATCCCAATGAACACTGCACTGCCATGGCAGCAAGCAGACAGGATGCGCTGGGACAGGGGGACGAGGCTAACAGGATCACAGTACATCTGGACACTTGCACTGGCTGCTCAGCATCTCATGTTCTCTCAAGGTCTGAGAGCCAGAAAAGCATACCTCTAAGGGAGCTTCCTGTTCTTCCAAGGCACCTCACGGATTGAAAGGCCAGTGAGCCTCAGTAGTCCTTTGTCCTACATCACACTGAGTTTACTACATAACTTTGTCTGCTGTCGTCCGTGTGAGTCCTGATTCACAAACAACGTCCAAATGATTTTCCATGTTCGCCTTTTTCCTTTTTCAGCTCTCAAGTTGGGGGTTTTCCAGCCTATAACCTCAAAATGCTGCTGATTTTGTTCCTGACAATGATTTGTTTCCATGTTTCCATGAACCAAGATTCTGGTAAGAAGAAATGGAAGTAGTTTCTTTTCACAATTTTTATTATACTCAATAACTAGTAAGTGAGAGTAAGCTGTTAAAATTAGGATATTTGCCTCATGATTCCTGATTTCAATTGTGGTAAGAATGTGGGGACAAAGTGTTTTGTTGTTATTGTTGTTTGTTTGTTTGTTTGTTTTTGTTTTTATTACCCTGTACTCTTTGGAAATCCTGGGCTACTGATAAAACATACGAAAGCTATCATTCTGTCCTCAATTCAACCTATTCCAGGTCTCCGTGGGAATTCTGTTAAGTACTAGAAAATTTTAGTCTGTCTCTCTTTTTAATTGACTAGAAATGTTGCTTTGGCTAAATGTGTAGATTTTGCTGCCGCCGCAGCTAGTTTGACTGCTGTTGACCCTGGAGAGAGAGAGAGCTCCTAGCTGTCACTATCAGTAATTGCGGTCAGTAACTCATGTCCACTGAAATGAAGTTTAAAACATCCTCTGCCACCGCCTCTGGCCCTGCTTAAGTAGCTGGTGTGAGTGATGACCAGCTCATGTCCAGGACCGCCTACACTGGCTTTTATAGCCTCTAGGATTCTGAATTTGAAACAAGTTTTGTGGAGATAAGCTAGATTTTGCCCCCAAAATATTTGATGTCTCTCTGAGCCTTAAGCTTTTGGAGAAGAATCACTCTGCACCCCTACCCTCCCACCCATAATTTCATGGCCTAGACATGATAAAGAATCTGAAACTGCCTCACTGCTAATCAGCCACATCTTTCCTACAGCAGATATAAGGTTGCTGATGGCCATACATCAAGCCATCCTGAGCAGGGTTCTCTGGACCAATCAGCCTTCCTTTGGAGAAGGTCCTGACTGGCCTGCTGCTCATTCTTCCCCTGAACGTTGCTGGCTGTGCGATCAAGGAAGAATCGCAGATTGCTGGGGATGCAGTCACCTGAAGGGCGAGAAAGGACCGATTTATCCTCCGAGCTTTGGTCTGATGCTCACAGAGACTGAATGACAGAGGGCTGGGCTAGTCTTTTAGCAACAGCAGAAGAAAACAGGAGCTGCGATTTGATCGGGATCTAGCTAGTGACCATTCGTGATGAAAGCTTCAAGTGAGGGCATAGCCTGGGTATTTGCTAATTGGACCTACTTATTTTAAAGTAGAGGAGACTGGGGCTTCTGTATGTCATTCTGAATGAATGACATGATATGCTCACAGAATGAGCTGATGATAGGCAGGTTTCTTATTTCTTAACCCAACTGCACTGCATTTTCTCAGATAACACACACACAAGCACATACAATTCCTCTGTCTCCTTTATGATAAAGTAGCAAAAGTTCAGAGACCAGGCAAAAAGACATCAGTAAGTGAAACTGGTTTGGACTCGATGACCTTCTATAAAATAAAAGCCGAATTCCAGAGACTAGCACGGTGATGGACACATGCCTATATTTCTAGCACTTGGGAGGTGATGGCAGGAGATCAAGAGTTCAAAGCCAGCCTGGGATACATGATACTAGATCATTCGTTTACATATCTATGACTATACATAATAATATATATTATTTTTATATATTTGATTGTATAATAAGAGTCCATGTGTATATATAATACCAAAGTGCCAGGCAGCTGGCAAATTACTTGTGAAAGGTTCAGAAAGGTTTTTGTATTTCAACATTAAATATGTTTTAATAAAAGCCAAGATTGTAATCCTATTTTTCACCTTGAATTCTTTGCTGTCATCATATTTTGTGTGCAAGAAAATAAATTTAGCAGTCATGATGCTCATTCACATGTCTTGCTGATTATATTATAAATAACCTTCCCACAGAGTAAGACAGTCCTGTGTATTTGTGCTGTCTTAGATTTCAAGAACTCAACACTTTATAATACAAAAATAATGTTTATAAATTAATCAGATAATCTAAGGCATCACTTAAATGAGAATCACAGTGAAAGACGTTAGGGTTTCATCATTCAAACACATTTGAATGAGTCTGATTCAAATGAAAATCTGCAATATTTTGATGTGTGTGTGTGTGTGAAATAAAAAAAACCTTTCTGAACGTGGCAACATTTTTCCATAACTTTTTGCTGTGCTGTTTCTGATTTTATAGGCCCTGAGTATGCAGATGTGGTGTTTCTGGTGGACAGCTCAGATCACCTAGGGAGTAAGTCCTTTCCTCTTGTGAAAAATTTCATCAACAAGATGATTAACAGCCTCCCCATAGAGGCCAACAAGTACCGGGTGGCGCTGGCCCAGTACAGCGATTCTCTCCACACTGAGTTCCAGCTTGGCACCTTCAAGAGTAGGAACCCCATGCTGAACCACCTGAAGAAGAACTTTGGGTTCATCGGTGGGTCCCTGAAGATAGGGAATGCCCTGCAGGAGGCTCACAGGACCTATTTCTCTGCTCCCACAAACGGAAGAGACAAGAGACAGTTCCCCCCAATCCTGGTGGTGCTGGCTTCAGCCGAGTCTGAGGATGATGTGGAAGAGGCTTCGAAGGCCCTCAGAAAGGATGGGGTGAAAATCATCTCTGTGGGGGTGCAGAAGGCTTCTGAGGAAAACCTGAAGGCCATGGCCACATCCCAGTTCCATTTCAACCTCAGGACTGCCAGAGACCTCAGTGTGTTTGCCCCAAACATGACTGAGATCATCAAGGACGTAACTAAGTACAGGGAAGGAATGGCTGATGACATTATTGTAGAAGGTAGGTGTCCTAATTTTCTTTATATTGCGGTGATAATACACTGCCCAAAAGCAACTTGGGAGGAAAGGGGTTTGTTTTATCTTATAGGTTTATAGTCCATCATGGAAGGGTGCCAAAGAGGAAGTTTAATCTAGAACTGAAGCAGAGACCATGGAAGGGCCCTGCTTGCTAGATTGCTCCCTCTGGCTTACTTATCTACCTTTTTTACATTCTCCCATTTGCCTAGGGATGGTACTGCCCACAGTGGGCTTGGGCCCTACAATCAACAAAAGGCTTCATAGACATGCCCACAGGCATCCATATTGATGATGGAGGCAGTTCTTCTAAGTGTGTCGAACTGGCAACAAAACTTACCAGGACAGTGGGCTGAGGCTGTGTGCAGTGGACCAATGTTAAAATAATTAAAAAAAAAAAATCAAGGTGGGAAGAGAACTAAAAACCTGTGAATACCACTTTCCACTAATGGTTGGCATTTTCAGGTGTTAAGTATTTCTGCATGTTCACTGATCCAGAGATTGTGGCCATTAAAAGCAAACAAACAAACAATGAATCCCACAGGGCTTTTTTGTGGCTTATTTAGCTCCAGACCTTTTAAAATTCTCCAGCACCCTCCTTTTGCCACCCAGCTCTCTCTCAGCCACCTCCCTGTGGTTTTGTTACTGGGTCAGTGAAAATACATTTGCTCCCAGAGAAACCTTCAAATTCTGGAGCCACATAATGTAACCACAGAACGGCAAGGTGAAGCCAACCTCTGCTCATCCAAATCCTATCCTGGAGCAAAAAAGTAAAGTGATATTTTCTGCCCCAGTGCCACGTGTAGCCAGAGCTGGGTCAGGTTCCCTGATTTCCCATCAGGTAGCAATCACCCCACATGGCCGCCTCTGCTGTGTTTGCCACAGCCTGCTCCATTTGTTAATGACCTATTGATAATACAGAAGGCTTTTCTTGTGGCAACTTATGAAAATATGGATCTTCACTACTCAGGTCTCTCACAAATAATTGAAAATGTAAATGCACGTGTTATCATTCCCTTGCAATATTTAGGCTTGAGTTGCAGACTATAATGGAAGCGATACCTAAATGGTTTTCACATTTAATTGCTGCTATTCATTGAATGAACTGTATATACCGGGCTCCATTTTAAGTATACTATCTCATTTAATATCTACACCAACTCTACGAGGTAAACAGTATATCTCATTATATAGAGGAAGGAATCGAAGCTGGGATTTTAGCCGAGATCCAGTCTTGGAACCTGTGTGTCACTTCTATCTAGCATCATGCCTCCTTTATATAACTGAGCTCTAGTGTGCGTTCTACACATCTTACGATGCTCCGCAGATCCTGCCACTCCTACTATAACCGTGCTTACTCATTCTTTCTCCCATCCAGCTTGCCAAGGCCCTTCTGTGGCTGACGTGGTGTTCCTGTTGGATATGGCCATCAATGGCAGCCAGGAGAACCTTGACCATCTTAAAGCATTCCTGGGAGAAAGTGTGTCTGCCCTCGACATAAAGGAAAACTGCATGAGGGTTGGTCTGGTGGCCTACAGCAACGAGACAAAGGTCATCAGCTCACTGAGCACGGGCATCAACAAGACGGAGGTCTTACAGCGCATACAGGACCTGTCTCCCCGTCTAGGGCAGGCCTACACTGGCGCGGCTCTCAGAAAGACTAGGAAGGAAGTCTTCAGTGCCCAGAAGGGCAGTCGGAAGAACCAGGGGGTGCCTCAGATTGCCGTGCTGGTGACCCACAGAGCTTCCGAAGACAACGTGACCAGGGCAGCTGTCAACCTCCGGCGCGAGGGAGTGACCATCTTTACCATGGGCATAGAGGGGGCCAGCCCAGACCAGCTGAGGAAGATCGCATCCCACCCTGCAAAGCAGTTCGCCTCCAAACTGAGCAACTTCTCTGAGCTGGCTACTCACAACCAGACGTTCCTGAAGAAGCTGCGGAACCAAATCACACACATGGTTTCTGTCTTCTCAGAACGGACCGAGACCCTCAAAGCCGGTAAAGCCTTACTGAGAGAAGGCCGGTCGTTCTAGAGCCGCCCTTAGTTTTGTCTTTTGAGTGTTATGCAGAAGGGGACTCCCGGGCACTGAAGTGGGTGGACAGAATGAGTTCCTGATTTTAAGTTTAGCTGGGTGCTAGGAAGTCCAGCTTGGGAGACACTAAAACCTACAGAAGTGCGAGCCTGGGAAAAGGGATCCCCTCCTTGGCATTACTTTGGTTGGTTGGTTCAGCACACCCTGGGCTCGCCATTTCCTAGTCCTCTGCTTTCGCTGACTTTCATTCTTGCCTAACCATTTCCCTTGACCTTTCCTGTACTTCATTCTTATTTACTTTCCTCTTCTTTTAACCCCTAAGGCCAAGTTAGAGAATAAACAGTAAACATGATTTGTATAGAAGACAGAGGAACTTAAGTAGCACTCTATTGCCTTCAAGCTTAGAGAGAGAAGTGACTGTGTATTTGCACGTACACAGTGTTTGTTTTATACGTATGTGCCCATAAACATTTTTGTATTTGTGCATAGGCAAACGTTTGTATGTATTAGGCAACAATTAGTTGTGGCTTATTTACTGTAAGTGTCACCGTGTCTCTCGTTCACTGTCACTGACATCATCACTCCTGGAGGTCAGGACTAGGAGCGGACAAGAAGTAAATAATTTTTCCTAGATTGTAGGAAAGAGGGCTCACAGAATCCTGCTACGTACCCTCCTTTTCACATCATATTGCTTTCCCTCTGAATATTATTTACTAAAGGAGAAAAGCAACTTGTAAAGAAGAGTTTCCGGTTTTCCTATGCTTCTATTTATCCTTATTCATGGCAGAGAATTGGGATTATAGTCTCATCCTATCAGGGACAACTCATTTCACCCCAACCCTAAGCTAGGAAAGCAAGTCTCTGATGCCTGGAAGTTATTCCCATCTTTCGTCTGTAGGGGCTTTTAATACTTATCCTTCCCATCTGTGCTCAGGTCTCTTTCGCATTTGCCCCAAATGCCTCATTCAACTTTCTGCTTCCATTTTAGCCTGTGTGGACACAGAGGAAGCCGATATCTATCTGCTCATTGATGGGTCGGGGAACACCCAGCCCACAGACTTTCAAGAAATGAAGACCTTCCTGTCAGAGGTGGTGGGCATGTTCAACATCGCCCCCCACAAGGTGCGGGTCGGGGCCGTGCAGTACGCAGACACCTGGGACTTGGAGTTCGGGATCAATAAGTACACCGACAAGCCTGCCTTGAGGAAGGCCATCGAGAACATCAGGCAGATGGGCGGGAACACCCACACAGGCGCCGCCCTGAACTTCACACTGAAGCTGCTGCAAAGAGCAAAGCAGCAGCGAGGAAACAGAGTGCCGCGTCATCTCGTCGTTCTGACAGATGGCAGGTCCCAGGACAGTGTCCTGGAGCCCGCACACAGGCTGAGAGAGGAGAACATTCGAGTGCATGCAATCGGAGTCAAGGAAGCCAACCGAACCCAGCTGCGAGAGATAGCGGGAGAGGAAAAGCAAGTGTACTATGTGCATGAATTCGATGCCTTGAGGGACATAAGGAACCAAGTGGTTCAAGAGATCTGTGCTGAAGAAGGTAGGAGATGACGGGGGGAGGGGGGACTCGACCTGAAGACAGCAGCTCACAAAGGGACACTGTTAGTCTAGAGGGAAGACACACATTTCTAAGTGGAGATTGTTGACCTGGGTGATGTTTTCTCTCCAGAACAAAGCAAAACCCCACTGTAGTATAAATTAATATCTGAAGACTGGCAGAGCTAGTTAGAGGATTTCTCCCTAGTGAGTATCAATTAGCCTCTTCCCACGAGCCCCTGCTGAAATGTGTGATTAGGTGTCATGTTGATAGTTCAATCAAATGTGTTCCTAGGCAGCAGCCATCTAATTGACATTTCATTTTGTAAATGAACTTGTAGGAATTTCTCTGGAGCTCTGCATACGTTTTCCACTCGGGGTTTTACTCTCTAAGGGTATTTGGTAACTTGCAGAGACAGTTCTGGCAACCTAAGTAGGGAGCTCTCTTGGCATTACTGGGTGGATGAAGCCCGGATGTTTGCCACCCATCTTACACGGTCCTACTGCAATAAAAATACCCCAAATGGTGAGGAGGTTGAGATACTTCAGCAAATTACCAAGAAATGGCATAGCCTTGGCTTTTATTGCTTGTATTGCTTTATTTGCCTAACTATCTTTATGTTGCACACACTGAGCTGGGACATAGAATTATTTGTGATTTGGGTTTTCTTGTGAACGCTTCTTCTTCTTCTTCTTCTTCTTCTTCTTCTTCTTCTTCTTCTTCT